CTTTTCACTACAAAAAATGATTTTTCCTACTCTACTATTTCTAAAAGTTACAAATTTTCTTATGTTTTCATTTTATTTGGACGGATGGGGGACCCCTTCAATCAGTAAAAAATAACTAACATACACAAACAGACCAATACACAAAAAGGAGGCACATGATTAGAAAATCCATAAAAAATACTATTTTTCCTTCAAAACTAACTTCAAGCTATTCCCTTCTCGCGCATAAAACTCGCTATTTTTWCTTACAGCCAAAACAGAAACACCACTTTTTGATTTGTTCATTTCCTTCCTATTGCATTGAAGCTGTATTTTTTTTATTGTAAATTATATTTTGGTTGCTGAAAAAGTCGTTTTTGTCGCTCAAGCAGAGCATCAAAGTGTTGTTCTTGTTGTGCTTGTAACCCCTCAGTGGTGCAAATGCATTGTTGTGACTATTGTTGTTGTTGTTATTAACTGGTGTTGCTTGTTTGTCAACTTCCACGACAATTTTTTGCTTTTGTTTTTATTGCGTTCGTTTTGCGTTTTTTTATTTTGATTTTTTATTTGCGACTATTATTATTCGGTACTTTTCGTACTTCAGTTTGTCACAAACGCATGTTGCCACTGTCAAGCGCAACATTGGCTGTTTGGCTGTAGTTGTTGTTGTTTCGCCATGCCGGTGGTTGTTTCTATTGTTGTTGGGCTTGTTGATGCTACTGCTGATGAATGCGCGTTAATTTTGATGGCTTTTTACAATATGATGCCCTGTGATATGCTATGCTGAGCCCTGTTATGCTGTGAAGTGACGCGATGTGTTATGATGCGCGTACCAACACCAAAAACACCCCGAAACATTTTTTGAATAGTGGCAAAGGCTGTTTCACCAAAAGGAGAGTTGAAAAAAATATTATTTGTTATGCCGCGCGCAGACAAAAGCGTTGGAAATTTAATCCGCACCCCTTGCCGATAGACCCACCTTTAGCAGGCAGTTCGTCATTTCGTCATTCACTGGTCTCATAAATGCGAAATATGATAATGCATTATTGTTTCGGCTGCTCGAATTGCTGTCGCTGGCGGCGCCACGTCATCATACGTTATGCGCAACAGYGCGCACGTAAAATTGGAAACTTGTATTTTTTGTTGTCGCCTTTTAGGGGTTGCACCAGGCGCACGTAAATACAATTGCCTTCTGTCTATGTTGACGCGTTGCTTTTTGGGAGATGATTTTTGCTGACTCAAAAATTATCCTATTTTTTATTAATAGTTTGACGGCTGTGAAAAAGGGGTGTGGCCACATTTACCGATACGGGTAATTTTTCGCTACTTTGCCAAATTAACTTTTGCATGACATTTTTAGTGCGGTAATGCGCAATTAGATACTTACTGTAAGGACTTGGACTTAAAGAAATTAATTCTAAGAAATTATACAAAAATTTTAAACATTTTGTAATATAAAAATTTGAATAAAAAATTTTAACACTTTTAATTT